ACACACACACACACACACACACACACACACACACACACACACACACACACACACACACACACACACACCACATAGAAGAAGAAACATCAGAGGGCGAATAAGAAGAGAAGAAGAAGAAGGAATGGAGATGGAGATAATCAGGGAAGGAGAAGAAGAAGAAGAAGAATTCCTCTTGAGGCTCGTAAGTACTGGTGATTTGAAAAAAAAAGAGAGAAAAAAAACAGATAATGTCATACATAAGAACAAAAATGAGAGATCCAGATCAAGGTTAAGGATAGAGACAGTTTGCAGAACCAATCCACTGCAGTACTGCATACCTTGAATTCTACCCGATGCCTTCTCGTGAGCATCTTCCGGCAAGAATTCTACTAAGAATTTTCGAAGAACTGCCTGCACACGAAGTCATACGCAACACAGCACCCACACAATGCAACAAACCCCTGTTATGGACTGTTCTTTTGGCATGATGTTGTTGGACCTTATATCAAACAGTTATGATATCACAATGTTTGAGATTTTTTTTTCCCTTTTTTTGGATGCTTGAAAGCTTTTGCCAACATCTACTGTCTTCACCCGAATACAACGCCCGGTCATTATAGCTGTATTTGGGCCAATGAACCATCAAAAAGAAGTCGTCAGCTTCGATGACGATTTTAACAAACCGTAATTCAGTAAAGTTACAGAATTATGATGATTTAAACAAACCACAATTCAGCAAATTACAACAGGTGAGCCCCACAGTCGCTCAAAACCTATGTATGAACAGGGTCTTATTTTATTCCCTCATTTAGCTACTTTAGGATGGGGTATAGGACCCGTTGGAGAAGTTATTAATACAGTTCCTAGGTTACCAGAGTGGCCCGGGACCACTTGCCCGGCCGGGCCAAAAAAATAAAAAATAAAAATAAAAGAATTGTTTTTTAATTTTATTTTCTATTTTAAAGTTTGCTAAAAAAATCGATGTGAGCCTGAGGCAAAAGTTGTTCAGTTTATTTTTCTGCATAACGTAATTTTTTTTTCAGATTTTTTGGATTTTTTGGGTTTTTGCCTGGGGACCTTCTTTGGTCCTTGCACGGCCAGGCTTCCCGGCCAAACAAAATCACCCGGGCAGCCCGGCTGGTAGCCTAGTACATTTCCTTATTTTGTATCTGGGGTCTTGCAGTGAATTTCTTCGTCTGTTTTACGATTTGGAGGTGTGTATCATGCACTCTATTGGCCCAGAAACTTCAGAAGAGTCTTTTCCGTTTTCTGGTTATGTGCGGAAGGAGTCCGAAGCACAAAAATAAGATGGAACTTCCAAAAGCAATATACACATCACGACGAAGCCCCACTCACCCCCAGTCGGAAGGCCGTGCCATTTTCTCTACAGTCTTCTGCCAGACGCTTGGTAGCATATAATGCCTCCTCCATGGTCAAACCTCCCACAATGACTGCACAGACTAGCGACCCGGCACTAGAACCTGATAAGAACGTGTCCTCCTGGAGTCACAAAACAAAAAGTCATGACATCGCTCATCGTCAGTCTTCAATCACGCAGTGCTTTTCCACGATCACTCTTAATGACCCTGCAACCAACAAAGGCACTCTGCATACATCCATGCTAGAAAGAAAAGGTCGTCGAGAACAGAATGCTAACTCAAACGACGCAGCTGCGGGGGTTCAAGATAGACGCAAGATGAACAAGAGTTCAAGACTGCACACCGGAAAGGTAGCCCACAGATCTTTCTCGGGGCCACGAGCGCAGCGCCAAACACATTCCCAGCCGCACTAAGTCCAAGATACTGGTGCTTTAAGCAAAACTAGCCAGTCTGTCGGCTACCCTTCCACAAAACAGCCAGTGCAACAGCTGCCCTTGCCGTGAGCAAGTAGTACATGCCGCTCATCACCTTGACCAAGTTCACAAAGCTCAAACCATCTCAAATCAGAACGTCGGTGCTGACTTCAAGGTTTTCAAGCAATTATGGACCACCAAGAGCATGGTGTCATCAGCATTTTGTCACGGAAGCTCTCTCTCGATCATGGGGGGGTAGGGCACACCTACATTGTCGTTATTATTTTGCACACCTACATTAAGTCACAAGATCGACATAGAGAGAGAGAGAGAGCAAAGCAAAAGAGCATGCTCCTCAACCACCCACTCTGCACCCGGACACACCCTCTCTACAACCACGAACTCTGCAGCCGACGAACACAGCTTTCGGAAACAAACCCAGATCTGTAATTTGTATGCAAGCATTGGAAAAAAAACAAAGAACCTATTTTCCCTCCTATTGGCTCTCTCCTTCCTCCCACACCAACTCCTGAACCCTGAGAGGCATTCAAATGGGAAGCTAAGCTCGAGCCCTTCATCCCACTACCTTGCCACATGAACCCAAGAGACAGAAGAAGGGGAAAAAGAAAAGTTTTTAAAAGCTGGCAGTCGACTGATATCTCGCCAGGCTCAGCAATCTAGGTACCCATTCAACGAACAACTACAGAATGTCTCTCGAGTCGTAATAACGCTTTAAAAACTTTTTCTTTTTCCCCTTCTTTCTCTTCTGCGGGGGCCACGCTAATCTTCTCCGTATCGTTCCAATTTCAACGGATGCCCCGGAGGACCGTACACTTAAACTTATTGTTCGTGCCAGCGATCATTCTCTGTGTATCCTCTTATCTCCCAAAACATATCTGTCTGTGATTCCCTGCACGTTCCGTCCATCATATTTTGGCCGCTCTCCTTGTCCCTTGCCCTTGCCACCAACTCTTTTGTTCTCGTCTCTTGCCCACCTGGTGCACAGCACGACCGCTCTCCTTGTCCCTTGCCCTTGCCCCTAACTCTTTTGTTCTTGTCTCTTGCCCACCTGGCGCACAGCACAACATCAGGGATCTAAAAGGGAGCGCAGAGGACGATGTCATGCTGGCCCTCCTCAGGACTTAGTTTTCAAACAGATGGTTGGCTGCCCCAACAATCCTGTTGTCTATCCACTGAACCACACGCCTGCAGACTTAATGTGCAGCATACCAGTGATTTCACCAACCTGCACTCCAGGTCACTGTTTCAGATAAGAAGCACTCACGCTACTCCAAAAAAAAACAAAAAAACGAAAAAAAACAAAAAAGAAAGAAAGAAAGAAAGAAAGAAAGAAAGAAAAAGAAAAGTGTCTGCTTGCTCAAGTTCTACCAGTGACTTCTCAAGGTGCCAGCTTTCCAAACACTCCATACTTTTAAGTTGATCTTGCTTAAAAGAAAGAAAGAAAGAAAAAGAAAAGTGCCTGCTTGCTCAAGTTCTACCAGTGAATTCTCAAGGTGCCAGCTTTCCAAACACTCCATACTTTCAAGTTGATCTTGCTCAGCTTCAGGATTTCATTCATGCCACCAGAGTCTATAGACTGCCCATATTTTGCACTTCGGCATACCTACATACTCTTCCCTAGGGTCTTGCTGCACTACACAACATTCTAAATTAATGCATCAGGGGCCGGTAATGGTCCCAATACATTTAAAACGTCGAAACGGTCCTAACCCGTCTGGCCCCGAGCCACTGCATATCTACTCCTTCCACATTGCAATCTTTCTTTTTTTCCCAGCTGTGTTATGGGATGACTCTCCTGCAACACTTGGATCCTAACTCCCCCCTCCCCCCACCACCCCACCCACCCCCCCCAGCTGATACCTCAGTTCCACAAATATCCGCAAATGCCTGCATCGGATTCCCAGGGTAGCCATTCCAAGCATGTCAAGTACCGTCTTCACCCGAATAGGACGCCCGGTCATTACAGCTGTATTTGGTGCAACGTTCAGTCTAGATACAGTGATAATGACTGCGCGTTCTATTCGGGTGACGACGGTAGTACCACATCGGTATTCGGATGTTGGACCTTGCAAAACTCCTGGACTAACGTAAGCGGACAGAGCTTTATCACTGCCACCTTCCCCCGAAAATAATGCATCCTGATCACGAACGTATACACGCTATATCTCCGGTCTGATACACTCATGACGATAGTTCGTCGCATTGTGCTTCGGGGGAGGACAGTGGTTTCCTCAAGTTCTTATCAGCGCCACCTCCCTACCGTCTTCCACCGAATTGAACGTGCAGTCATTGTAGCTGTATTTGGGCCAACTTTCAGTCTAGATACGGGGACAATGACCATTCGTCCTGTTCTGGGCAAGATGGTAGTGGTCTCCTCGCATCAGAGTAGGCATTCCCACTCTACTTTTACAAGACTAGATCATCCTGCATCACCTCCCTCCACAGTGATGCCCTTGTACCAACTCCCTCTCAACCCTTAATGTTTCCCCTATCGTCTGGAATAGCCACCCCCCTTCCACCTACCCCTGCCTATTGAGGAAACTGCAACCGAAGAGCACGGTAAGTGAAACACGGCCTCGCTCCATTTCACAAAACTCCAAAAGTATCTGAAGCTGGTAATGGCCCCTATACATTCAAAATGTTTGCTCGGTCCGACTGCACCTGGATCAAGTCACAGTCAAGATACATACATCTAGAATGTTGTGTAGTGGCGCAAGGCCCGCAGCTTTGGCAACAAAACTTGGTAGAACCCAGCACATGCTAGACGGAACTGTGAATTCCTTTCGGTCGAGAAAGTTTTTTGAGAAAACTACGGCGCAGTCAGGGCTTGAGTTTGTAATTGCACTTGAGGCAAAAGGGCCGGTAATGCTGAATGTATATGACCCACTTTTAGCGTCCGGTGGGGTCGCCTGGGGGTGTGTTGTATTCGCGGGATTGCCTGAATTGCAATTACAAACTGTTTTCGTGACTGCGCCGAAGTTACCCCAAGTTTTTCTGTCGTGAGAGTATATGGCCCTAAACAACAAGGAATGAGCACGCTGGCGACAACAGGGGTTCAGTACTTGCCGATTGCACCTTCTGTCTTGTTTGAGGTGCCGATTGCATCTTCGGTCTTGTTCGAGGTGCATCCGTCTTCACCCGAATAGAACAGCAGGTCATTAACGATGCATCTGGACTGAAAGTTGCCCCAAATACAGCTATAATGACGGGGCGTTCTATTCGGGTGAAGACGGGTAGTATTCTGAAGTATGCCTTGGGTGTTGATACTACACGTACGGGCATATATGACAGTTGTCCTTGGACGAAAATTCATCATCATTTTGAGCGCAAGACAGAAAAAAAAGAAACGTAGGTCATATACATTCAGCATTACCGGCCCTTTTGCCTCAAGTGCAATTACAAACTCGAACCGTGACTGCGCCGTAGTTTTTCCAAAAATCATCTAGCATCCGTTTCTCTATCACGTATGAAAATCCATTCCTAGCTAGATATAAGTGATTAGTACTGATTACCCAAAAGCACTGCAAATCCATTTAGTCTGTCAGTCTGTCAGCTTGCAGAGCAGGTACCAGATCTGGACGTCAGCCGAAGATCAGCTTGGCAGGCCGCAGCGATGGTTTTGTGTTGCTCAGGTCCACACCCATGCAAAGAACTACCTTCCTCCCCCGAACACAACGCCCCAGCATCATGACTGTATTTAGACTGGAAGAGGGTTTGTATACGTCAATGAAGACCCGGCGTTATGTTCCAGAGAAGGAGGAGTCCTTGTCCATCGCGCACCTTAAGCGGTCTATTTTCGAACGGAACTGATCATTACATCCAAGCCTCCCCCGGCTTCGGCTCCCGCGTGTGCCCTCAAAATCTAGCACGGACTGCATGAGTGATGACTCGCTTCTTGCGGCAGCGTTCACTTGCAAGAAAGCCAGCGGCACATCTATGGAATGCAGGGATATGTGCGCGCTATCATTCTTCCCCTTCTTCTCTCGTCTTCGGCGTCGTCATCGTCTTCTTCCTCTTCGTCTTCCTCTTTTTAAGAAAAATAACCACAGTTAAGGATATCGACCTCGTTCTTGTCTCATCTCAGCTTCACATCTCAGCTCTTCCTCTTTTTCAGAAAAGTAACCACAGTTAAAGATATCCACCTCATTCTTTTTTTTTTTTTTTTTTTGGAATTCAGCATTATATTCACAAGCTTCACATCTCAGCTCTAAGTTTGACTTCTTTTCCGTTTTTGCGCGGTGGCACTCCCAGATGACAGGCATCGGTCTATCGCAATATGTATGTATGGGATAGGGCCCTCGCCCCACCACTCAGCAAACGTGAAGACGACAGAAATATGGCAAAAGTATTTGATTTTGCACAATTTAGTGAGTAGTGCGCCGAGGCCTCGCGACGGCTGACCACTCAGCAAACGTAAACAAGGGTTTACGTTTCGCCTTGCGTGCGGTCAACCCAGAAGTTGATGAGTCAATCATGAGAGAGGGGGGACTTTAGACACGGACCTTCTGACTGTGTGTGTGTGACTGTCATCCTTCTCAAATATGCTGGTCACTTACAAAAATAACGAGCGGCAGTCTTATGGTGCAGCTATCGCGACGGCTCACCAACTACTCACCTATAGTAGTAGACATGAGGAGACGTCAGGTTCTTCGGCCGCTCAACCAAATACTTAGCCGCTAGAAGACTGCGCCCTCAACATCCATAACAGACTTTTCCACCACTCTCAAGAAGTTGACCTGACCCCACCTGTGAAGCAGAGCCTATCACCCAATCGCAGCAGACTGTCACCTACCTAATCAAACAATCGCAGCAGACTGTCACCTACCTAATCAAACAATCGCAGCAGACTGTCACCTACCTAATCAAACAATCGCAGCAGACTGTCACCTAACTAAAAAAACAATCGCAGCAGACTGTCACCTACCTAATCAAAACATGCTGTGAGGTTCAATCTACCGCGAGCAGGCAAGAAATTCAACGAACCAAAAGAAAGGTCTGTGACCACTGCTACTGACGCCAGATACCACCGTCCGCCGGCGGAGAGCGCAAAAAAAGGCGCCAAACACAGCCCCGACCCCGCCGCACGCTCAACCGCCGCCACAGACGTCGCGACAACTGCACCATAAGACTGCCGCTCATTATTTTTAAGTGACCAGCACATTTGAGACGGACGACCGTGACATACACAGTCAGAAAAAAAAAAAAAAAAAAAAAAAAAAAAGATATACACACTCAGAAAGTCCGTGTCCAAATCCTCCCCCCCCCACACACACACACAATTGACTCATCAACATATCCGGCTTCACCGCACGCAAGGCGAAAATTAAACCAGAGTATGGTCCTCGCCGCCCCACTCACCAAATGTGCAAAATGAAAATGCACCTCCCGCTATAGCGTGGAAATGCACTGCCGCCATATTTATCTCGTCTTCATCACATTTGGTGAGGGGTGCGGCGAGAGCCTATCCCCTACATACATATTGCTATAGACCGGAGTCTATCATCAAGGAGTGCTATCGCACAAAAACAGATAAAAAGTCAAACTTAGGCAGCATAAGGAGATGAGATGTGAAGATGAAGTGGAAAACGAGCTCGAGATGAGACAAGAATGACGTGGATATCCTTAACTGTGGTTCTTTTTCTTTTTCTCCAAAATAACAAAAGAGAAAAAGAGAAGGATGAGGTGGGTACGAGACTGAGGCGAAGATGGCATGACATGGGGATGAGATCCCAATCGATTGCGATCTCCATCCCGATCGCAACCGATTGCGATCTCCATCCCAATCGCAACCGATTGCGATCTCCATCCCAATGGACCCAGCCTCCTTACGATGATGGATGCAGTACAGATGACCTGGCGATGCAGTACAGATGACATGGACGTGATCTATGTATAGATATATAGAGAGAGAGACAGAGGGCGAGAAAGCGAGACGGAGAACAAGAGGGAGAGAGAGAGAGAGAGAGAGAGAGAGAGAGAGAGAGAGGAAAAGAGATCCCAGAGAGAGGGAACGGCGATGAGATCGTGATAAACGAGGATGGAGACGAACACATCGACGAGATAGACGTAAACGAGAGAAGATAGGGTGGAGATAATCAGACTGGACGAGATATATAACACGTACAGTGATGTAGCCATATTCCATCAGGCACTTCGTCACCCCCAGGTGATAAGGGAAGAGAAGCCCCGCAGCGCTGAAGCTGAAGCCTGGTATCTTGGCCCCGGGTGACGCCTTCTTCCTCTGCTCCCAATCCAGCATCTCCTGCACTTTAGGGCCAATGATCAATTGCTCTTCTGTCGGTCCTCTATCTCCACTTTTTCCCTGCTGCCTCTCCCCCGTTACCCAGCCAATCAATCCCGGTCTCATATATTCCTGGATGTTGGTTCGCCTTTCCACCTCGCGCATCAGGGCTGCCATCCTCTCCTTGATCCAGAACTCCTTCCGCGCCTCTTCCTCCTCCTCCTCCCCCTCTACCTCTTTCTGCTCTCTTGCCTCCATCATTTCATCAACCGCGGTGTCGTCTCTCCCTTCCTCCTTGCGTATCGTGTCCTCTTCGGCGGCCAAAGCATTCCAACCGCCGCGCTCGCCTCTGTCCCTCCTGCAGTTTTCACCTGCCGCCTCCTCAAGCATCGCAGCAATCCTGTCGCCTGCCACCTGAAGACCGTTCACCAAGGCCTCTTCTTCCTCCTCCTCCTCCTCCTCCCCCTCCCCTTTCTTCTTCCCTCCATTGTCACTCGCTCCCCCTGCTTCGATGGACAACACCTCGTTGACTCGCGCAGTCTCTCCGACCAATTCCGCTATCCAAGCTCGGGGGCGCAAGAACACCCCGCGCACTTCCATGATCCCGCGCAGCAGATTGCTTCCCCACAGCATCTCCCTTCTCTCGCGCATGTTCGCTTGGAATACCCACCAATCGCAGACGAGGCACGAGTAACGGACTAGAAGTGACGTGAGCAGGGAGGCAGACGAAGAAGGCCTACCATTCCCACTGCTGCGTCTGCAGCAATCCCGAGCTATATCTGTCTGGCGATCGTCCAAGTCAGAGGTAGTGTTGCCGCCTGGTCTCCGAGAGCGCGAAAACATTTCAAGCGGGGACGAAAGCGGTGACCAAAACCCGCCCTCGGCACTGCATCTCGCCTCTTGCCCAGGCATGGCGGCGCGCGCCGCGGCAGGGGGCACCCGCCGCCACCTTCCCCTGCCGCCCCCATAGTCCTCTAGCCGGCTGTGATCAGTTGTAAGGCGGACGAACGGTGGCCCCTGGCGGTCAACGCCACGCGGTAAAACTGACCACCACCACCTCCCTGGCCGCTGATGCACCGCCGCCCCCGCCGCGCAAACGTTCCTGGGTGATGATCGGTCATCGCCGCTGACGTGACGACTGCAAGATGACGCGATCCGAGGTCGACGCGCCGCATCACATAGCCCTGTCGAGTGGATGTCAGGGACAAAGGGAGAAGAAGAGGAAGGAGAGAAAGACGAGAATGGAGAGACCGAAGGGGAAGAGGCAGCGGAGATAGTTAGCGAGTTGGTGGTAGTCGCGCCGTCGACCGCCACCGCGCGTGGAATCGCTATGGCGATCGCCATCGGCCGCCGTCTCCGATGGCCTTCGGACACCGACGCCGATGGCGATCGCGCGGCGCTGGCGTTGACAAACCAGCAGCGGCAGCGAGAAGGCGCCGAATCACCACCAGTGGGCGCGATGCAGAACGACCGCCCCCTCGCCCTCCAGCAGCAGGTGATGGTGGCGCAGAGGCGCCACAGGCACAACCGCCTGGCCGCTGCCCCCGTCAGCCGCGGAGGCGCATATCGTCCGGGTCCCGACGGCCCCGGCGAACGTTTGACATCCACCGCAGGGCCAACGCGCCCGCGCGCCCGGCGGGCTGACAACGGTCCTCCGTCGTTTTCCGTCCTTTCCCGCCCGCAGCCGCTCATCGACTGTTTTCCGCGCCTGTTTTTCTGTCCGCTACCCGTCACCCACGGCGTTGTCACTTCATTTCAGACGTGGCGCGAGCGGACAAAATTGTGTCCAGCGTGGTCACCGCAAGATGGCGGACACAGTAGAATGGGTGGCTGATGTTTACTCTTTTGTGGTCCAGTTAGTTGGCGGTTCTTGTCGGACCTGTGGTGTCCAATTCGACGCCCCGCCTTTCCCTTTTTCTCTTTTTTCTCTTTTTCCAATCATTTCTCGATTAACGCGCGTCATGCGTGTCATCACGCTGTAGAGGCAACGCTAATCTTCTCTGTATCGCTCCAATTTCAATGATGTCCCGCCTTTCCGTACCTCAGAATGATTGTCTTCTGGTCATCTGATTGTGGATTCGAGCACGCGTCAGCATTTCAATTCAATAGTTCGTGGGTGTACCGAGGAGCGACGCCCGTGGGTGCCTTGCCGTGTCTCGCGTGAAAGGGAACCGCCTCCTGGCGGGGATACCCATTTTACATCATTGAAAAAAAAGGGGGCTGCCAGAGGTACCCTCGCCATCACACGATCGCGACGGTCCATCATCGACAGCAGACATACGCGCCGTTTGGTGCACACATGCGGGCACTGCCACGATGGCACTGCGATGCCTACCCGTAGTCTCTGTTTCTTTGGTCTGGACACAAGGCCTCTGTTACAACGACCTTGCCATTCGGACCCTCCCGTCACAACAGAACTTTCTTCGTTTAGACTGAGTTCCTTCTCATTCGCAGCCATATCGTATATAGGTCAGCCCGTATCTGATGCTTTATACACCCCAGGCAGGTTTTTCCCTCCGTCGGGTCTACCAGCCCTCCGTAGGACACCAAAGGCAGGTTTTTTCACCGTCGGGTCTACCAGCCCATAGGAATTGTCTACGGCGGAAATGCGGGGAATACCGCCCTAAGTGCCTATGTTTCTTTCCCTTTTTTTTTTTCTCCTGAAGCGGATAATTTGGGAAATACCCCTATCAGTTGAGATATACCGAAATGCCCCTAAAAGATGTGGGTAGAGCGGAATGCCCTTTGGGCCTAATCCTACGTGTTTTGACTGTGTCAGGCCCGTGTGCAAATTTGCAATCTGGACCGCCTCTTTGGGGCATGCGCCTGCACCCTGTGCTACTCGGTTTGACCACCATATCGGGTGGGCAACTTTGCGCAATACCTAGGCCCATGGCCATAGCAGTTTGCCTCCGTGATTCAAACTTCCGAAGTCATTTGAAGTGTCTGCCGCTGCCGAATACAGCTTCGCCCTGGTAAGCTTGCCCATCTTCACCTCCTCCCCCGCCATTCCTCCAAGTTCTCCTCGTTTGCCATCTCCGACATCCTCCTGCCAGTCTCTCCTTCGAAAACTCTCTCTCTCTCTCTCTCTCTCTCTCTCTCTCTCTCTCTCTCTCTCTCTCTCTCTCTCTCTCTCTCTCTCTTTTTGTGCAACTACTAAAACCACAAGGTCATCCCCCCGAATAGAACGCACGTTTATTATCAGTGTATCTAAACTGAAAATTGCTCTAAAAAAATTACAACCATAATAGTTGTGCCTTCTCTTGAAAGCACTTTTTTTTTGGAGGCAACGACCAAGGGGCAAAACGCAAAGATGACTTGGGACGGTAGGGGTAAAACAAAACTAAATAAAGCCTAAAAAACTTGGCAAGTATCAGGATATTTTTTAAAGATGGATAGTACTCGATATGGGTACTTTGCGAAGATGGTGGGTCTAACAAACACCCAGAGCAATTGCAAAACATATTTTGTGTCGAAGGGTTATTCCGCTTTACCCACAACTTTTAAAAGCAATTTTTACATATATCTCAATTTATAAGGTATCTTGCAAATTATCCCTTATTTTAATAAAATAAAAGTCATAGGAGTCACGATCCTTTTATATTATGAAGGGTGTTTATCCGGTAACTGTTCACTAACAAGTCGTACGACGGTCGACTTTAAAACCATACTTGTGCCCAGTCACACAGACCCTTTGTTGGTGAGCACAAAATTATGCTTATGTCGAGGAACTGGGCAGACAAGATTGTGTGTGCACAAAATTGACTCAGATAAACGCATGATTTGAGCTTTCCGTTAGTTGGGTAAAACTAAAATTCAACGGTACCAACCTTGGCCCACCTCGGTCTTAGGCATGCAAATGATTTGCATAGACCAATTATCGGGTTCAAATGCAAGCTGGACATTGGGACTGGGTATTGTGGGTATTTTCATATTTTAATGGGACACAAATGCAATTTTGTATTTATATGAGTGTGTGTATATATGCCAGTGTGTGTGTGTGTGTATATGTGTCTGTGTGTGTGTGTGTGTGTATGTGCTGTCTCTTATACACATCTAGATGTGTATAAGAGACAGGTGTGTATGTGTATGTGTATGTGAGAGATAGAGAGGGAGCGAGAGAGGAAAAAAAAAAAAAAAAAAAAAAAAATCAGTGCAAACTTTGGACTGTGAACACATATGTGAAAACCCTAAAAGAACAACCCTTAAAAAAAAAAAATCAGCCCTAGGCCTATGAATTTCGGGTCTGTCCCAATTAGTCAAAACAATGGGTTCTTTATTTTTTTTTTCGGAATTCAGTGTTTTTATTAACTTTTTCGTTACTAGTTCAAATACATTCAAACTCAATAATAATACACCCTACATCACATATATGTATAGTATTATGATCTTGATTTTAATCAAATTTGTTTATTATATATTCTGAGTGTGAAAAATTGTAAAAGTATGCGTAATCTATTTTTGTTGGTTTGGGCCTCATCGTCATGGGTGAAATGGCATACGGGTTGTGTTGTGACTACTTGTACCAATTCATTTTTTAGCCCAGACCAGTTGCCTTAAATTTCATGATGAAATTCAGTTGGTTTTTGCCTAACCAACACTATATAAACCTCTCCAAACCCTTTCCAAAAATTTTACATCTTTCACACTGTGGCTGTCGTATTACAAACGACCTGCAGACAACGATAAAAAGAAACATTTATGGGATATACAATATATTCCCTATACGCTGCAAAGTAGGCACCCGATGCAAAACAAAGAGAGAGAATTTTTAAATGTAGATGGTCACAATCTTAATCGATCTGCATGTATCTAACACTTTAATTTTTAATATATAATTGCACATAATCTCCTTCTATTGTATGCACACGCATGCACAATCGACTACGCATATACAATATTGAGAGAAATAGAAACTAAAAAAAAACAAAACACAAAAAAAACAAACACACTCAACGTTTGTTGCTAAACATGACGCACCTTGGTACTTCCGCACGTGGCCGGGTTGTAAAGTGCACACTTCCATCGAGATGCCACCACATTCAAAACATTAGCTCACCTATTCAAAAATAGTATGTCAAACCTAAGTTCCAAAAGAGCAAAACAAATTTTAATAGCTCGATTTCAAATATCAAAAGATGTGAATTTTTTTTAATGTATCGATCGAGGAAATCCATAAGACAAAAGTGATTTAATGACGTAACATATGTCAGTCCAAACGTTAATCCGAACTCACTGTTGCTTTTTTTTTCTTGAAGAGTCGTTCTTACGATTTTATCTTTTAATTGCTTTAAAAAAAAATAACAATGAGTGATTTCCAGACAAACAGAAAATACAAAGTCTATCATCGATGATAAATGTTACACAATATTTTATATCTCAAACCCTAAAATTAAATACTAATTGTAAGTTTCAGTATTTTTGAATCATATTTCCAATGCCGGTTTCAACTGCACGAGCATGACATCGAATCTATTTTGTTAGTGACACTCATCTTTCTATTTCAATATGTAAAATCATAAAAGTCATGACACGTAAATTTTTTTTTAAAAGTGTCTAATAAATTTTATACTATTATTATTTCCGATGTATCTTTTCATAATGACGTAATCATATTCTCTGGCTCGCTTAGCCAGAATAATGGGGACCTACACGTAATAACAAAGATAAAAGAAAATACATGTTTTTACTAACATTAGTTATTTTATCATAACTCATCAAAAAATTATTTTTTTAATCCTGATTTATCAAGAAATGAGTTTCTTATAGATTTCTTTTTTCTTTAGAGAGGTTTATAGACTGCAACTGTTAAGGTTTGTCAGTTAATATTTAAAATATAACAATTGTTGCTTAACCTATTGCCATGGTAACCGGCGTTCGGTCGAGGCCGAATGGCTGAACCAAAACGGTCGAACGTACGACGCCCCTGTAGACATGTTCGGACAATCAAGCTCAATATATATATATATAAATATATATATATATATATACAAGGTTACCTGACCGAACGTTCGGGGGTCCCGTTCGGGGGCCGAACACCTTCAGGTTTGGCCCCCGCCAAAAAATGTTTCGGGGCCTAAAAATAAGTTTGTTTTTCTGAGTTTTGTTTTGTGAGTTCTCAATGATGTAACCTATACGCCTATAAATTTTGAAGTCATTCTGCAAAGCCAAACAAACATTAAAAATCTTCAAAGATGGGGGTGTCAAAACGTGCTCGCCCACTCACTATTTTGTTTTTTTTTTCACTTTTCACTTTTTGTTTTCACTTTATTTCTTGGCCTAAAAAAAATTATTATTTTTTGAAAACTTTTTAATGAGTTTTTGATTATGTAAACTACATATCTGTAAATTTTCAGGGCATTTGTCAAATCCAAAAAATAAATAAAAATCGGCAAAGATGGCGGTGTCGAAAATGTGCTTGCACACTCACTCATTTTAATTCTCTTTTTATTTTTTCTTATTTTTATAAAATTTTATCATATTGTTTATTTTCTATATTTGATTTTTAATTCAAATTTGGTGAAGAATTTGGATGTAGTGCCTAGGCAAATGTTGTTTAGCTTATTTGTCTCCATAATATATTTATTTTATGGATTTTTTTTTTTTTTTTTTTTTTTTTTTTTTTTTTTTTTTTTTTTTTTTTGGTCTGCGTTCGGCCCGAACAACCGACGCCTTCCGAAGGGGTCCCGTACGTTCGGGCGTTCGGCCCGTCCCGAGCGTCGGTAACCCTGTATATATAATATATATCGTCATATATATATACATATATACAGGGTTACCAGCCCGTACATACGGAGGTTCCAGGGCAGACCTCCGTATGTACGGGCGCTCGGGGTCCCGTACGGGATCCGAACCAGACGGCCTTCGACCACCACCAAAAAATATTTCGGGGCCTAAAAATAATTATTTTTTTCTGAATTTGTTTTTTGAGTTCTCTATGACGTGAGAT